TCAGATTGTTATCAGATCGACATATATCCATATTTGTTCCATTTAGTTAACGGATTATCGAATTCGGATTTTAATCGGATTATCGGATTGAAACCTTAAATTCATCTCCTGTTAATTTCATCGGATTCGGACCAAAATCCAATCCATTGACAGCCCTAGTCGCGCTGCTGCTGTTGCAGCGGCACCTTGCTGCTGCAATTGCAACCCCGCACCGCCGCTGCAAAGCAGCAGCGTGCTGTCAACACGCTGTTGCGCCTGCGGTATGTGGTGGCGGCGACTTTCGCCACTCCCTCTCGATCTGATTTTGATCGCCATTTTTTTTATTCGAAATCAGACTTCAAAATATGAGAATTAAATTCATTTAATTGCTAGAAACTAGAAAAAAAAACATAACAATCAACTTTTGATTGCACAAGATGTTAAGCAATTTCTAACAAACACAAAGTAGGCTTTGATACTACTGTTGGGAATCTACTTATCATGCGCAGTGAAAAATTAAAATAATTTTCGATTCCTACTAAGAATCTTCTTTGTATTTAGATAGAAACAGTGATAAAGATGAACCTTTTACAAGATTTGCAAACTCTTTTGTCATATCTTTGTTCCAGCAACTTGGATATGTCATCCACAGCTGTCCAATTGTCCAGCCTCCAAAGGTGATCTACACAGAGAACAAGATTGCAGGATTAAGGTTTTCTTCTTGTGCTAGCAAGAATAATGAATTCTCTACTGAATCTGAAAATCCTAGTCATATTTATATAAGTCCAAACAGGCTTAATTTGACCCGATCCAATATTTAATTAACCCCTTAAATCTGGTTTCTGAACTAATTAATCCAATTAATTAATTCGGGCTTATAAATATGCAAATTAATTAATTTATCCAATGCTTGTTAAATTAATTAATTGATAAATTACAGTCTTCTAATTCTCTTTTTGTATGAAACCCATCAAGTTTTCTATCATGATATCTAACAACATGAAACATTATTTTGATCTAATCTAAATTGATAAATTAAAACACCCTTTTAATTTATCACCAATTTACACTCGTCGTCCCAGATTGACATCTAGCAATGTGTCAGGGCAATACATGTGACGAAAAATGTCATGTGGTATGACAAAACTAAACTCGTTCATTTACTGTGAAACTATAATCCTTTCGTCAATATGATCCGATCAATTTACGAGATATGAAAATGTGTCAATCTCGATTACCGATCATATCTTTCACTCCACTATTAAGTCAATATAAGTCGAAAACTCATTTTCGACTTATGAGTACACCTTGCCCAATGATTTCGTTATCGACTTAATTGAATGAAACGCAAATCATAATCTCTTACTATCTAAAAGTGACGAATCATCTATTGGTCATTCACAACCTTTATACGATCCTTGACATACTCGAACGATGTCATATTAGCGGCCCTTGACAGAGCAACATCCATCACCGTCAAAGTATGAATATCCTCATATAAGATACCATGACGACCTCAAGTCAAAGGACCAATTTCACTATCGAATGTTAGAGATTAACCACTGATACTCAGATAGTTATCCATGTGGAATCTCTTGGTGGGTCTCCAATATTTTGTTCTATAACAAAATATCCACGTGTTCATTTAAGTGTCACAATACTTTAGATTGTGAGATCAGCTACTTACTTCACAAGTAAGAAATGCCACATGTGATGGTCTATCCGTAATAAGGATATCCGTATCTTGTTATTACTTACGACCACGGACGATTTAAGATTCAACATATGTAATGTGTATCTCACAATCACAATTCTTTGTGATTAACAAATTACGAAAATTTGAATCTACGAACTAGTATTTAATTTAATTGCCTATTAATTAAATAATAGATCTGTCATTAAATCGAATTAATTATATATTAAAATAATTTATGTTCAAGATTGATTGAACTTAGGGCACAACACTTACAATTACTTGGTAAAATGCTAAGGAGAGAAATATACAAATCTGCTCCTGTGAATGCCTTTTGTTTTATATTTTATTTTTGGTAATCATATTTACAACATATATTCCCAAATATATAAAAAAATTAAAAAAAAGCTTCTTAGAGCATCTGATGCACGATAGAAATATTTATTTATTTATTTATACACTCCAACAATGCTATCTAATTTGACTCTTCATTTTGGCCCCCGAGGCATAGTCCAGTGGTGCAAAGGATAGGAGTGGGGTTATCTCATGCCTTGTTGGCAGCTGCAGTGTGGGGGTTCGATTCCTGAAACATGAAATTGAACTTTTTGTAGAAGCAATGTACAAACAGCTTTTTTTCCCTGACCTACTGTGGCATATCCCGCGATTTACCTCCCTCACAAAGTTCTAGGGGGCGGTGAGGTCCCTCAATGTTGGGGTTCAACCTTTAATTTGACTCTTAATTTTGCTTTTATCAAGAATCATTTATTGATTTTTCCTCATATTTTATTTAATACATTCTTTGAAAATAATGTTATCTAGCATCAAATTAGATGACAACACTTGATAGATTTTGCATTTAAGTAAATCTATCTTTTAATGTCATGCAGTTACCACCTAAACTTATGCTTGATACTAATGGCGTTAAAAGCATTATTTTTTTTAATATGTTAATGGCCAATCAATTGAAATGTGATTCGAATATTTTAAAAAGTAGAGTATTAAAATTAGTGATTTATTAGATATAGTCATTGTAAATTAAGAAAATAGAGTGAATTTGATTCTTTAAATTTGAATAGTCAAACTATTTTGAAAATATATTTTGTTGGAGCTTATTTTTAAGCATTAATTCTATAAAGTAAAGAATATTTTGTATTTAGATAGTCTGTTGAAGATATTCTTATCGTTGTAACCATCATATAACTGTATCTACTATGACTGGTCATTCTCTTGTCTCGGACTTAACCTACCATACACCTTATTATCAGCTCAGCCACACCACTTCATCCCAGTATCTATCCTCGGATGTAGAATTCCTTTCACCAATATGATATAGCATTTATAAGACCTAATTAAATACATTATGGCTCCATCCTGACTTCCTTCTTCTAGCGTTTCCCACTTTTTCATTCTATAAATATTTAGTATGTGTACGAATTGTTACCACATTTTTTGTAGCCTACAACTAGATGTGAATGTACTGTAGTACGTCCATGTCATCATTGTGTAACGTTTTCAGCAGTTCTTCGTTTGTGAGTGCAGCGACAAAACCGACTTAGTTTATTGTCTGAACAACGCAAGAAAATGATGTTCGATCATCTTAAAAAGACCAAATATACGCATGGACCGGGTTAGGCTTGATTCTCTAAGTTCACGGGTCAATCCACTTGGTCTTTTTTGGTGCGGTCAAAAGTCCAATTTGTGTTAGTCTTGGTCTTTTGTTTTTGCCAATATTGCACTGACTATTAATGCTCAAGTTATCGAAGACTAAGAGAATATTTGTTCAAAAATTCTAAGTGTACATAATTTTAAGTTTACAGAATGTGTACAGAGTCTCACAAACGGTGGATCCCACATGAACATTTTATTGCCAAAAAACCCACCCACCCCCCTTAATGTGTGTATTCTGTACAACATTTGTACACTTAAATTTCTGCACATGTAGATTAACTCATATTTGTTATACCATATACGAATGATATTTTAATTTTTTTTATATTATTTTATGCAGTTTGATCCAAAGTATCAAATATGCTACGGAAATTTTTGTGACTACATTACGAAATAAATATTCAAGAGTTACTATGTTATTTTTATAATCCAAGTATTACTTTGTGGTATGGTTAATATTTTGGAAAATAATATATACCCAATTTAGACTCCATATATTCTTTATAACTGAAATTAAATTTAATTACTCTAGTATTAAGTTGGTCATTTATTGTTGTTTCTAAACCATTTTAGAATTTAAGAAAAATTTTATTGGCCAACTTCTTTTTTTTTTTTTTTTTGGTGTCAATCTCTTTTTTCTGAATCCATCCCTTATGAATGTTTCCTTGTAGTAGAAACACCTTTTTTTTTTTTTTTAGGACTCAATAATTTTCTAATTCACTATTCAATAATCCATCCAGATACATATAATTTGTAGAAACATATGTTCATGTGCCGTCTATTATTATTTATAAAATTTTGGTAAATGGCATGTTTGGTGGCACAACTCACAATTGATTATTCAATATGAGTGAGGTGATTTACATTTTTTTTTATTTTACAATATTTTTAACAGTATACCTTAGTAAAACTAATGACAAAGTCATTCTTGAAATTTTATCAAATACTAGTACGGGGTGTAATTTCCTCAATACGCTATAAATGAAGAAAAAGGGCTATGAATTAAAATTTGTATTGGGCACAAGACGTTGTAGCCCTAATTGTTCTCAACTGTCTCAATAACTTCAGCATTTATTTGGTTTTAATGATCTTCGATCTAATATTATATTCATCCTTTTTTGAATGTTCATCCCCTTCATGACTACCGCATACGAGTAATGACCTAATAATATCATCACATGCATGTAAGTTGAGAAGCTAGCCTCCTTTCATGGTTAATTAATTATAATATTGACATTGAACTACTTGAATAGGCATTAATTCTTAATGATGCCACTAAAATAAGATGGGTTTCCATGTGAAGAAAAAGGATATTGATGCCTAACTACAAGAATCATCTAATGATGTTTTCGTACGTTGAACTGAATATTATTGAACGACAAAATTTTTTGAATTGTCTTATATATTGTTGTTCTTGCTCAGTATTATATACCAAACAATTGACATCATTTTTTACATGTTTTGGACATAAAAGTTGCACGTATGCGACATGTAGGAGCATTCATTGGACATGTTTAGAACGATAAGCATTGTGTCCGCTATCTTTGCTCTTTTTTTCTTTTTTTTTTTTTTCTCACCGGAATAAGCTTTCATCGCATCCTTTTAGTCACAAGTGATTATGGCCTGTAAATTGGAGGCAAAATTACTTCTTGAAACTCAATTTTTTGAATAGTAACTTTTAAATATGATATCCAATTCCAAGAGTTACTGATGCTGTGATTGGAAGTAAACAGCAGTGAAATTCTAAAAACTGAAAACATGTAGGCAGGAACCAGCTCCATACCAGAACTGATTCACTTACTAATGCGATAAATAATAAGCAAGCAGCACTATTCAGGCTCCACTCTTTCTTGAATCTATTGAGTTAGAAATGGAGCTCAAATAGTGCTACTCGGGAAGATAATAGATGTAGATAATAGACAGAGAAATATGTATAAATGTTTAGCCCTTCTTTGTTTTCTTGGTGGTGATGTTCTTATCATGGATGACATCAAGCAAAACAGAGCTTTTGCATTTGGGGCATCTGGGGTCTTCTTCTGCAAGCATGACGTACATGAGACACCGAGGGCAACCCACAAGCATCATGGATGTGGCCTCCGGGCTGGTGGAGTACCGCTGGGACTCGTCCTGGTTCACTTCCGATGACACACAAGAAGTCGGCGGCGATGTAGGAGACACCGTCGACGATCGACTGGGGGACAAGGCATGTGGGTTTCTTCTTGGTGGCGGTGACAAATTCAACTTGAGATCCAGCGTTGGTACGTTTCTCCTGCTCATGATTCTCCTTTTCCAAGAATTCCTTTGATATTCTCTTGAAATACTGCATAACGAAAACAAATTATAAAGGCTATAAATTTGATTGAACATTCAAGTATACAAGTTTATTTATATACATACCTTAAGAGGGTGGAAAAGAGAGGTGGCGCGCGGCAGCTATGCGGCGGTGATGGGCATCATATTGAGCAGTAGCAACACCAGTAACATGGATATGTAAAATGGTATGTGGTGGTTGGTTTTGAAAGTCTAAGGCCATTATATATAATTGGATCGAGATGGGGTTTAATTAAATTATGGTGAGAGGTAGAAGAAATAAAGAGAGAGATTGAATTGAACGAGGAATGGTAGAAGGAGAGAAACTGTGTAAATTAAGGGTCAGAAGAAGAATTAATTGTTTGAAAAACTAAATATTTGCAGAAAGAGGAAAGTTTGTGGTAAATATTGAAATCAAATTTATGATTTATTGGTAAGAGAGTCGGTGTATGTGTGCGCGCTTTTAAAGCTCAAATAAATTTCTAACAAAATCCAACTACACAAATATTAATTCTGAATAGATATCTTAGATTCTTGTATATGTGAAATGGGTATGTACTTTAAAAATATTATTGTTGTTTTTCCATTTCAATTTTGAATAAGAAAAATCTTTTAAAAAGATATTCTACTAACAATATAAACGTTTTTATTTTGAGTTGTAATTCATCGAATTAGCCGTTAGGTTGAATGTGACGAAATATGAGCTATACTAGATTTGTTCAGGATCGAAAATACACTTAAATTTATTAAGTGATATCTAATCACGAGTGATGGTATTTATCACCAATGATGATTATTTTGGTGATAATGATCCTTTGATTAATTGTCCAACGAAGTTGTGATCTATTTTTTAATGTATTGAATAACGATATAGATGATCAACGTGTCACTTAAATTGATATCCCCAATAATAGATGGCTTATTCATATTATAGGATAAACTATTTTTAGAACAAATTTGTCATGAATTTAGGAGGACCACGGCAACATGTTTTTGACAAATGCTGAGGTGTCGTGCACCTCAACTCTTGATTTAAATAAATGTTATTCAAATCAAGGATTGAGATGCATGTCATCTCAACATTTGTCATAAAAATTGTACAAGTAGCATGGTTCTTCATTTTATATAATATTTCAGAATCAACTATGGCGAATTCATCCTTTGGACATTATAGATTTATTAGGTATTATAAAATGTTGGTTATGATAAGATAAACACTTATTAATACTTTGTTGGATGAATTTATTAGATATTATAAATTGTTGTTATGATAAGATAAACCTTTATAGATACTTTGTTGGATGAATTTATGAAAATATTTATCACCGCCAAGTAGAATTAGTTTTGAATCGGCCCAAGGCAATTTAATATATCATTTATTGTAATTTAATATGTTAGTTGAATTTCAGAAATGATTAATAAGTCTGTTCGAGTAGGAAGTCGCAATTTAAGGGTAGCAGGGTCATATATGTCTTTTTACATTAATTGCCATAATCTTAATGCTAAGTATTTTCATACTAGACATGCATTTTTTCCCCTATATATTCTTATATTCCACAATTTCGGCTCATTCAACTGAAGGAACAATCTTACTCGAGACGTATTTTTGACAGATACAACATTTATAGAATCGTCAAAGTCACGGGGCTTTAATTTTATTTATTTATCTATTTTTTTATTTTCTCATCAATGTATGAGAAAATAATTTAATTTTTTTTCATCAAGTCTCACATCGCAAAATTGTCAAATTTGGAGATGTGAACCGTCTTATCCGATTTTCATAGGCATTTATTGTGATCATAAGCCGTATATCGTGCTCTGCCCTCTTTTAAATATCATTTGAATAGTTTAAGAAGTAGAGTATTGAAATGTATGACTTATTAAATACAATTATTGTACGTTAAATATAGAGAGAATGAGTTTGATTCTCTAAATTTGGAAAGTCAATTTTATTTTCTATTTTAAAACGTTAAAATAGAGAATCTATTGAAACTTATTTTTTAGCATTAGTTTTTTTGTTTTAAATAAATAATATTTTATACTTAAAGAATCTTTCTAAAAATGTTTTAAGATAACTTTCTGGTTAAAGCTCTTCTATAAGAAATATAAATATTTATTAAAATAGAAGTCCGGATAAACAGCTTTTATCAGATCATTCCATTAAATGTTTATTAACAATTCAATTTTTTTACTTTTCTATTTTCGTATAATGTTAATTGTCAAATTCGAGGAAAATCTGTACTTGAAACAGCTGTTATATTTATGTGATTCGTTATTATATAAAAAACTATTAAATAGAAAACTAAGTGCTTATTTGATAAGGATTTTCATAATTAATTTTTGAGTAATACTATTCGTAGTCGCTTACTGCAGTAGTCGCTCTACGTGATATACATATGATAGGTGATTATTTGATGCATTAATATGGTAGTTTTTTATTTATTAATGAATCAAATAACCACCTGTCATGTGTATGCCACGTAGGGCAACTGCCACAGTGAACGACTGCAAATAGTATTATTCTTAATTTTTTGATCGTTAGAGATAAATTGGATTTTATCTGTAAAATAAGAATTCAAAAATGATGGTTAAAATAGTGAAATAACGATCAAAATTTTAATTTAATTGGCTTAAAAGCTAGACCAGCCAAGCTCTAATTTAGTCATTATTTATAAAAAATTGCGAAATGGATGTTACAACTTGCGAGGAACGGACAGAGACGCGAAGGGACTCTTTAGCTCAATCTATTGTTGTATCTTAGCATATCTTTAACATATCATGATTTTTATTTTTATTTCTTTTAAAGTCAAAGACTTGACATATACACTTTACATATAATTTACATATAATAAGACGACAATGAAACTATGAATATAAAAGTTTAAACTACCTCGATCGTTTTCTATAAACTTTCAATAGCGGAAACACAATAACTTAGGTCGTGGTTGGTTTGCCGTTTTCGGCCTATTTTTCGTTTTTCGTTTTCGAAAACGCGAAAAATGCGTTTGGTCCGTCGTTTTCGAAAACGTATTTTCGAAAACGAGTTAAAATTTATAACTGAAAACGTAAAACAACTTTTTATTATTTTCAACGTTTTCAGTTATAAATGTCGAAAACGTTCAAAATGCGGAAAACGGCCCGTTTTCGAGGAAAACTAAAAATCGTTTTGAAAATGAAAAATAAAAATGCAAACCAACCACTACCTTATATTCTTTACACTTTCAATCTGAACTTCATCACTACACGTCTCCTATTCTCCCAAAAAATCTTCAAAATAAGGTATAAGTATGTGGTCGTTGCAATTCAATTCAATACAGCAGATATAAATACTATACACTCTTACAAATTTATCGTGTTTTAACTATTGAAAACCTATAATTCCTAAAGAGATTTTCATTTGTACAGAATTTCAGTTTACATAATTATGCTAGGACAGATACATGTGTGGGCCCCATGTATGATAAAAAGAGAAATGTTATTCGTACAGACTCATTTGCACAAAGTCTTTACAGATGCTCTCACATGGGAGTGGACCCCACACATGGGGGTCTACATGTGAGGTCCACCCCCATGTGAGAGGCCCTGTATAGACCCTGTGCAAATGGGTCTGTACAAGAAGTTTATTCCTGATAAAAAATATCAAAAAATATCACCCACTCACTGTGACTTGTCAGGAAAATATTTGTAACTTTCCTTTGTATTAATACAGCACGGCTGAATTCGTAATTGGTAGAAAAGTCTTTGTACGTTTTCGGTTAAAGTCAAAGAATGAAAATAAATAAAATATTATTTCCTCCTTAAGAAAGAAAAATTCCGAAGATTTGAATGCTTGAATTGCGGGCCTTCTACAATTAGAAATAGGCCTTCCCGGCTAATCTGGCGAAGAAAGTCAATGTTATACAGTAAATTTTGCTGAGTTTTTCAGAGTACTCATCACGATTTGAAACTATATTATTAGACTATTTGTTGGCTTTGAATGCATTTAAAAGTCATTCGTGTTAGGTCTAATTCTCGAGAAGATAAGCTTAAAAAAACTTCAAGAAGTGTTTGTAGACTTGGATTATATATATATATATATACATATATATATATACATACACACACACCTATTCTTATATGCACACAAGGCCCACGTGCATTTAAAAATTCCTGTGTGTAGGACCCGCCCTCCTATGTTGTGTGTAGGTAAAAAGTTCGGTATAAAAGTGGATCTATACGAATTTGGTCTCTTAGGTACCGGTGCTTTGTTTATATTAAGCACCATACTTAGGTATCAAACTACAATAGGTAGTGTAATTAGTTTTAAAACTAACCATTATCTTTCACCACTTATTGTAGTGTGCCACGTCACTCGATATTTAACATAAACTAAGTATAGGTGCTTAGCTTATATTAAGCACCAGTGTCATGGCACATAATCTAATGATTTACTAATTAAATGATGTGTCATTTCACCGACTTAGGAGATCATTTTCGATATATATATATTTTCAAACACTGGTGCTTAACTTATGTTAAGTATCGTTGATATGACACATCATTTAATTGGTGACGCACCGGTCACCGGTGCTTAGGAGATCATTTTCGTATATATATTTTTTAATTTGACAATTCCTATTCGGGGCCAATTTGACAGAATTTATGTGTTTGCTTCAACATTTTGTAGCAGAGTTTTCTAAAAAAATTATCTTAAGTTAATTTCCTCTAAATACTCTTTTAACCAAGCAAAACGCTTTCATAAAATTACTTAAATATTTTCAAAAGAGAATTTTTAGTTACATAATCAAATTTTAACTGTTCAAAAATCTTGCCATGGAAACCCTCAATATTTTCTTAAAATGAGGAAATTATTGATCTCGTGTTTATTTTCTTACGTGCATGGAGTGCCGAGTACCTTTGGTAACACGCTGTCATCTCTATTCTAATCTGCCAGTTTCATTGTTCTTTCTTTTCATACACTACCAGTATTTATGATATGAACTTATGATAAATAGTACGAGTTGGACCACGGCAACAAAGTCATATATGTAAATTGTAACATGTATTGTGGTCCAAAGTTTATATAAATTCGTACTATGATTAGTTCTCCAAGAAATTTATTCTCGTGTACGAAAATGTTAATGATGTTGTTTATTGTCACACATCCCATCACGGGTTTGAATTTTAGCGGTGGAAAAATACACCTTTTTTACATTGAATCGACCCATTAAGTTTGGTTTCGAGGAAAACAAAATCAAAATTAAGGTATTTTGGGTTGAGAATTGGTGGGTTCAACTCGATTACTAGGGTTACTCCTCGTTAGTCCTTTTTATGGGTAACTTGTCGAATTAAGAATTTTCTGGTTAAAAAAAAAAAATCTCAAAAAT